AGGAGAAGGAATGGGCTTAAATGGAACACGAGGGATCCAAGTCCTGATTAGGAGAACCTTCTGCACCGCCAGGCTAGGGGAAGGCAGGGCACAGCAGGAGGCTCCTGTCTGTGGGGCACGGAGTGGGCAGAGGTTGTCCTGTTCGAGGAGGTGGAGGTAAACAATTCCTATTAATTCAAATTTCAAGCTTGCACAAGGACTGGGCCTTGGATAATGGGCTTTTCTTTCTGGTCGGTGCTTCTGCCTTGAAAGGGTCTCACAAGGAATTAAAAAAAAATCACAGACAAAGTAAAGTGGAGCATGGGGAAAAGGAGAGAAGAATTCCCTAAGAAATGGTGTGTGCCAAACAGAAGTCCAGCTAGGTTGGCTTAATGGGGGGAGAATTGCAGGGACGTCTTCCCCTTCGGAAAGAGGTTGATTTCTGCTGACATTGAATTCAACTCCCCTGTGAGAGTTAGGGCTTAGCTTTGGGAGCCGGGCTCTGTGCTGTGCAGGCTGGGGAGAGGTCACTGGCTATGGGCAGGAGCCATGGCCCCGTGCCTGGGCCACTTTTTTAGGTGAAGAGGATGTCTGAAAGCAGATGTGGTGTAAAGGAAGAGGCCTCCCAGGCGTGCCCGGCACTCTGCAGCCTGCTCTCTGCTAGGACGCGCTTGGGCTCCCCAGGCAGGGCACTGGGGGTGCGTGCCTGGGATGAACCTCTCAGGGCTGCAATGTTCTCTGCTGAGCACAGGCTGAGCTTTGCTCCCAGGCCTCAGCTCGGTCCACATGGAGGTGCTGGCCTGGCCGGGGCCTCGGTCTGGTTGTGGGGCAGCCTCTGGGAGCAGCAGCCAGCTGGGGGTGATGGAGGAGGAGCCCACCACCAGGTCCCCAGGGAGCAGATGGCATGTCGTGCCACCGAGTAGCCTCTTCTGGTAATCAGGGAAACCACTTTAACAAGCTGTACTCGGGGGGTCTCCACACCAAGGGCTCTCCTGGCTCACGTGTTTGTGCTCGCTTCAGATGGGATTTCACAGTTGTTCTCTCCCTCTGTTCAGAGCTCCCCCTTTGTGCTACAGAGGAGGCGTGTTTTGTCTGGGCGCGGGATTTGGTCTGCCACCTTTGGAGAGCCATCTTCCAAGCAGATGGAAGCGAGATTCAGCAAGCGACCCCTGCAGCCTGAGACAGAGATGCTTTTTTAGCTAGCAAGCGGGGAGCTTCTTTTGCCTGCAAGGCTGTGTCCGTCTCCTCACCAACTCTCACTAATTATGTCAGCTTGTCTTTCACCCAACTTCCAGCCGCTCCTTTTCAATGCCCACATCTGTGACTACCAATTAACACACCAGCAAGTCGGCACAGCACTGCCAGGCAGCCCCCTGTAGCCATAATGGCATTCAAATACTGTTTTGACCTGAATGAATTCCCTTTGTTGGACACTTGGAGCCTTATGGAGGCTATAATCACAATGGTAGCCTTGGTGCCGCAGATATCACTTAGCGGTGATGTTCTGAGGACAAACAGGATTACAAAGCGGTCCGTATGCCCCGATATTCACCACTTAGGTCATTTAAAAATCTTTAAGAAATCATTACAGCTGAAGCGGAATTGTACAGTGTGTGATTACATGCTCGCTGCTAACAGCGAAGCTTGTCGCTTGCCATGAGAAGCAGGCAGCGCACGAGCAGGATGTATTTTTGAGCAGCATGTGACATAAATAGCAATCTTTGGGGGGCTCGCCATTGAAAACATCACCAGAGACTCAGCTGCAATCTGAAGGGCTTGGTAAAGCAATGTTTTGAGAAGAGATTGTAGTTCAGCCCATGAAATATTTAGATAAGGCACTAAGGATGTGGTGCTCAGCTTCCCAGAAGCACGCAGGGCACCTGGCGATGCATTATTAACAGCTTAGGAGTGCGGTGCTGGGAGGGCAGGAGAGCAGAATCCAGAGGGATGGGAAGCTTGTGCTGGGGAAAGAGATTTTGTAGGAAGCACTCGGAAGCCCTGGGCTGGAGGGGGGTGAGCGCAAAGAAAGCTGGTGACTTAATAGGAGAGGAGCCTAGCCATTACTGCAGTAATGAAGAGTGCCTGGGAGGCATATTCAGGTTGCTGGGGGCAGAAATGTCAGAGAAAAGGATGCCTGAGGGGAGCTGAGAGGCTCAAGGAACTGATAAATGAAATGAGAATTGGGAGTGCATTGAAAACTTTTCACCTTTCCTTACAACCAAGTAATTATTGCCCTGAGAAGGCCGACTTGAAAGCTTAGGCCAAGTTTGTTGCTGAACGTCTGGCTCCCAAACACTGCCTGTAGTTACCTTGCTCCCCAGCAGCTCTTCTTCAAGAAGGGCTCCAATCTCCCTAGGTGCTGATTGCTTTGTTCCCAAGCTACAAAAGCTCTCAAGTGCCTGCTTTAAGCTGAGCAAGAGTAGCCCACCGAGCAGGAGCACAAAACCGCCAGTGAAGCACCTCAGTAAGCGGGCGCAGGAGCCCTGGATGAGAAGAATCCCTCATGCCAAATCAGCTGCATCCTCTGCAGCAGGGCTGGCAGGGCTGAGCCAGGCTCAGTGGTGCACGTGGGGGACTGCCACCTTGGGGGCTGCCGACCAGCAGCCTCCCCGCACACTAGATAGACTTTCAAAATTAAGTCTCTGTCCTCATTTCCCAAGACTGTCTGAGCGAGTGGTTTTCTCAGGAAAGACTTCATGAGATTTTTATGGAGCTGGCGTCGTTTGAAAGCTAGTGACCTGGGGACATGCAATGTGTTTTTGAGAAAGTTAATGGGAGATCAGCTGACCTCTGCAGTCAGAAAGGGAAGGAGGGAAAAACACAAATGCCTTTGTGCTTTTAAGAGGAAAAGAAAATATTTAAAACTTCTTGAATATGTAAGCTTAACACAAGTGCAAATCAGTAACTAATTCTTTGAAAGGCTGTTTGGGGAACCTGTGTCTTCCACTAGTGCTTAAAGGCAGGGACCTTAAAGACAGGACCAAAAAGAAGGGAGTAAAGCATTTCAGCTCTATATTACAGCTTTTCAGGGCTGTTTTACTTTTATTTTTTCTAACTTGTGGAAAATTAAAGTAAGAACAAGTCACGTCAATGTCATATGCCCGTTTTCTGAGTGTATGCTCAAATCTCTCACCTAAGTCATTAATGAAATGAAAGATGACCCTGGACAGATCCGTGCTGGATCCTGCTTCAAGTATTCCTCCAGCTGGAGAGAGAGCCTCTAACAGTATGTATTCCTTTTGCATGATTTTAACCAGTCTGGCACTCATCTTACAGCAATTTCTTCGATGCTGCATTTCTGTAGTTATTTGGAACAGCATCAGAGAAGCTCACAGTATGTGCTTCCCCTGGAGGATCCTGTCGAAATGGGATTTTTGCTACATTATTCTGAATTGGTGTTGACAGGACAAGGTGCCACAAAGGTTGGGGCAAAGGGTGGAGATGAGAAAATGTAAGAGTCAGCATGAGACCTTGGCTGAACAGGAAGCGTTTAGAGATGCTGTGCTGAAAGCTGAGTGTAAAGCCTGTGTGCAACCTTGGTTGTGTTACTAGGGGCAAGATCGCAGTCACAGATAGCCCTTGGTCCGTGTGCAGGAAGGGGATAATATTCAAAGAGATTGAACAAGAAGTGAGGGAGTCTTGGGTTACAGTGAATGGCAAAGTCTCTAAAAAGAAAGTTGAAATGACAATACATTCTGACATGTACAAAGTAAAGGCTGTATCATGAACGTAGGCAGAACAAATAACAAACACTTTCAGACAAAAAAGAGAATAAGGAGCAAGCAGTGTTTTTAAAATGGTGAAACCGTTTTTTGTTTTTGTTAAAAAAAAAAAAAAAAACAAAAAAAAAAACCACAACTTTTCTCTTTTCCTTTTTTTCTATATCTAAAACTAATTTGTCAAAACGTTCCACACAGTTGCATAGCCTGGAGCCACCTGAAATATGTAGATAATTATTTTTTTTTTTTGCAAATTGAACTTTTATTGAAATTGCTTTAATTTGATTCATCTTCAACTCTCAGCTGCTGAAGTGTGGACTGGAAATGTAGGCTTCCATGAGCTTAATGACGCAGGGGAAGAGGAGGAGCTGGAAGAAAGGAGGGGAGGGGGGTGAAAAGGAAGATAACATAGTGAGAGGGATAACAAAAATATTAAAAAGTTTTTTCTTGTGAGAATGTACAAGGGAGAGCATGAGGGCATGTGGAGAAAGGTACAGGAAGGCAGAGTGTGGGAGCAGCTAAGGAAATGGAGATCTGTAGGTGCAGTGAAGATCCTTTCCTCCCACCTCTCTTTTTTAAAAAAAAAAAAAAATCCTTTCTTGTGCCCCACACACTCCAGGAATCAGTGAGGCTCCTTTCCTTTCCCTTTTCAGGAACGGTTCATTTTGCTTCTTGCAGCAGAACTGGCTCCAAATGTAATTATTTCCTGCTGTCTCTGTGCGCTTACCTATGTGTTTGGCTAGCACAGACACCCCCACTTCCCTCCTCCCCCATGCAGTGTGGGTCCCTGTAAGAAGTTTTCCCAAGAGGTTTTCAAATGTCCCTGCAGGGTAGGTTTCCTCTTTTAGGCCTCAAGGTTTTATGACAACGCATTCACCTTTGCTTTCAGAACAGTTTACGCTGGCTCTGCTCTTTTCTCTTCTTTTTGGATATTCTTTTATTCAAACAACTCCTGCAATATGTATCATTTCAATTACCCTGGAGGTTTACACAGTGCTTACAATGAACTGAGCTGTGCTTCCAACTTCTGCCCATTATATTCTGACAAAGCAGCTCAGAGGCAAGGCTGTGTGACTGGTGAGCAGTGTGTGAGGCAGGGTTCAAAGAGAAGGAGCTCATAAAATAGTTACTCATAACTCTTCCCTTTGCAGGGTCTAGCTCTGTCTTGCAATATTGAAATTCAAGATGCAATCAGGGGCTGGAGACCTTGTTTTAGAAGAGGTTTTTGCTGAAGGTAATAGGGGAGATGTAAATCTGCTGTTTGTTTATGCTCCTGGACAGTAAGAACATAGGCAATTGTTATTCTGAGCATTCGCTGAATACATTGAAGTTTTATTGTATAGAAGATTTGTTTGGCTAAAGATTATCCAACACGCAGAGAACTACTTCATGGGAACTTCAATATCTTCAGGGCTTTTGGTTTGTTTCAGTGCTTGCCAGCTCCCCAGTCCTTGTCCCATCCTAATCAAAGTGCTAATCATAACAGCTGTAAAAGCCTGGGAAACTGCCCGTTGTAACCAAAGGTTTCCATCCATTATTTAAAACCATGTTTGCTACAGGAAAGCCGGTGGTGTCCACTGTGACTGCCAGCCCCTGAAAAAAATGCACTGCATGCAGACAGAACATCTTCTGCTTTTAGAAACGAGGATTCCCCAGATGGGTGCCTTTGGAGATAATTTAGTGGTGCCCTGCTCCTTGCCTTCATCAGTGCATGCAATCTGGTAACATCTTGCAAGCACACCTGGCAGGAGAGAGGATCGTATTATAAATGCTTAACAAAAGGATCTCCCTTTCTTTTCTCTCCTCCTCCTGTACTTACTAAGCTAATTACTTCATTTAAAAAAAGGGAAAACTCTTCTCTCTTCATCCCTTGCATGCCTCCCATCTTTCTGGCTTTTTCTTTGAATGCCGTGTGCTTTGACTGTGAAACGACAAGGTAAAAAGCTCACATTCACTTTCCAGTTGGAATTTTAAGGCTCGATTTTTTTCAAACCCAGCTTTCAGCTGTTAGTGGAGGGTCAAGCCTCTGCAGACAAAAGCTTTCAAACTTCAGAAGACATAATTCAGCAAGATTGGCTGAGGTGCCGATGGAAGGGAGGTCTGACCACGTCTCCCTGTGGTTAAGGATGACAGTGCAGATAAGAACTCACATTGTTAATGGATGCAGCCTTTCACCTTCTGACACCTGACTTGGTCAGGACTAAGTTTTTGTCACCTTGAATGATCATTCCCCCAGATACCGGAGACTTTGGCAGAGGGTCCTGCTTCTCTGATTACAGCTGAGATATCAAAAGGCAAGTGGGATGGGTACAGCCTAACATGGCTATTTTTACCTTGAAAGAATAATAGTTACTCTGATTTTTTTTAGATATCTGAAGCCTTTTCTTTTCCCATGTGCTACTGCCTAACTTACTGATAACTTCACCTGGGGTGGGAGAGACCACCACATTCTTACAAAAAACCTGCCTCTTCAAAATGGTATTTTGGGGAATAACAGCAGGAGCAGCAGCAGTCAGCTCAGCCATAGCAGGCGTGCCGGTGTTGTTCTGTGAAAGCGTCGCTTCTTCCCTGCTCGCGCTTGTTTGCATTCCATCTCTTGCACAGCTGGAATGGACAGGGGAGAATTAATGCTTTTTATTTAATTAAAAAAGCTATTGAGGTAGCAAGAAAATTCATCAAGAAACAAATTCAGCAAGCAGCTTTTCCTTAACTTCAGAATTTTTTTTATTATTGATGGTATTTTTGCGAGGACTCAAAGCTCTGCTGAATTTAGGATCTGTTTGGAGTCTTCCTAAACTTCCTAAACAAAGAAGGGGATTTCATGGCTTATATGTTCCTTTAAGACAGGACATCTCTGCATCTTCACTTTTGGTAAATTTATTTTCCAAACCAGATCTACATTTGGCTGTCCCTGCTGTTTAGAAGCAGACTGCCCACTGAACGTTAGGCTAACCATCCTACTTCTGTGGTAGAAGGTGTCTGTCCGTCATACTGACAGACACTGAGACTGTTTGCACGTGCACAGCCATTATTTGTCGATGCTTTTCCCACCAATTACTTGTCAACCTTTTACCCATTGTCAACCCAACCTTACAATCAATCCTTCATTGTTTTTTCTGATCTTTTGTTGGATTGGAGGGACTGAATGTGCAAAAATTGCAAAAACAGGGAGCTGAAATGACAATCCTTTAGCTGTAATACCATAACAAGCAGTAGCATCTTTTGATGTAGACTCTCTTAATGAATTAACACCTACTTAGCAATGCTAGGAAAATGTATTTCCCAAGTTCCATTTTGCAGCCAGACACGTATCCCTTATTGTTGCTTCTTGGCATGCTGCCCATGGTGTTGATCTCTTCCTACTGAATTAGCCCTACCCTAGCCAGCATTTCTCCCTTTCGCTATACGTGCTTCATCAGCACAACTGGATATCTCTCTAAGCATGGTACCCTTTGCTGCTGCCTCTCTGCCCTTTCTTCCTCAGACCACAGAAAATCCATCTGTCAGAAACTCTAAAATTACTTGTTCTGTGAAGTGAAATCTTCAAAGCCTTCAAATATCTAGTATATGAAAACTCTTGCCTTTATTCCATTTAGGATTACGGCCAAAAAAAATTAATAATAATAAAATGGCAAGACAGTTGCTTTCTTGCAAAGAAAATAGTTATTAACCTTCAGAATAAAAGCAGATACAGTCCCAGCGATGAACTTTTTCTCCAGAGAAAGTGTGGGGAAGGCAATTGCTGTGGACAGCGACAAGTAACTTGTAGAAGAGCAACAGCTCCCACAAAGGTTTGTCGCACTTAAAGAGGAGATGAAACTACGCATTGTAACGCTGGCCTATTTTGGAGTTACCAGAAATCCTAGTTTACATCAGTGATTTGCAAACGGACCCTCTCCTGGCGTCGTGTCAAGAAAAACTGTATATAAAGCTTTGCAGCTCTGCAGTTGCTTCTGACTTTGGTGACTTTCTCAGAGGCGTGATCTGAGGGGTGTTTGTAGCAGAGCCTTCTGGACTATGTTTAAGTTTCAAGTTGCTCAATATTTACTTTCATAAGTGCAATATATTCATTTTCAATGTATTCATGTTACTGACTGCCACTTTGTTATGCTTGTACTCACTGAGACATGCCTGGGTGATTAGTGTAAGCAGACTCAAACCAAATGGCAGTCATGTGTCGGGGGGAAGCTGTAAAACATACCTTGTCTGAGCACTTCGGAAGGGAAGGTTTATGCTGCTTTGGAAAGGCAGCTTCATATGTCTACTCCATATAAACTATGTAGGAGCAACTCACGGGACATGATGAAAAGGAGAAACAGGCAGAACAGCAGGATTTTGCCCCAAATCAGACATCTGCATGAGCAAACAGAATATAAAGAAACACAGCCCAAAACACTGCTTGATGAGGGAACTACAGAAAGCAGAGATGTAGTAACATGAGGCTTTGCAAGGTTTAGAAAAAACAGTTTACAACAACTGTGCACCTCAATATAAGTTTTAAAGCACCCTGTCACCTTCTAACTTCCTTTTTCTTGCTATTCTTCAGTCTTTGCTGAAACGTGGAGCCTTCCAGGTTCTTGGCACATTTCTCAGCTTCCCCAAGAGCGAAAGTGCTGTCAGCTTTGCAACCAGAAGTGGTTCCTACCCTTGGGGCTTTCCTTCACTGGGACTTTTCTTCACTTCTTTTTGGCCTGAGGACTGGTGGGATCCTTTTCAGGAATTAGCAGGAAAAATTCATCCTCATTCCAACAAGAGAAAAAAAAAAAAAGGCTTGGTCAGTGCCTTGTCCAGAGAGCCCAATGCAGGCTTCCCGTACTGCTGACTGCTCTTACCTTTCTGCCTTCTGAGCTGCACGTTGAGAAGCACAACAGTGAATAGGCTCTCTCCAGCAGAGGAGAAAGGGCTAAATTTTAGATAAACCTAAAAGAAAATTAAAACAAATGTTTCAAACACTTCTAGTTACTGCCCCTATCATGTTACTGATGTCAAAATACTGCTGCTCTTTGCACTGCTGCACACTTCACACTTTTGGGGGATTCATTTATTGACAGTAGTCTGGAAGTGCGTTTTGCTCTAAGTCAAGGCCACAGAGATTCAATTAAATATTTTTCAGCTTTCATTGCCTTGTTTGTGGGTTTCATCTGATATTTGCATTCTCTTTAGTCACATCCTAAGCTCTCAGCCTCCCAAATGCCCCTCGTGCACCAGGACAGGCAGGAGAGCTTTCATAGGCTCCTGCAGGAACCACTGGGCTGTGAGCTGGGATCTCATTGCATCGATGCAGTTGCTGGATGGCTTCAACTAAGCTTCTTGTCAGCTCATGTGGAATGAGAAACAGTCAGCAGGGGCTGTGAGTTCCCTGAATAGAGGTACCATCAGACCAAGGAATGACAAATTATTTTCTCTTTCCCACTGATGAGGATATCACAAAAACCACCCTACTGTGGCACTTCTTACATGTACTTTCCAGGATGAGGTCCTCAGGTGTTGTTCACCATTTTGGTGAAGATCACGCACAGCCAGCTGGTTTGTGTGGCAATTTGCGTTTTAAGATCCACAAGTGCTTGCTGGAAAGAAAAAAAAAAAAAAAAAAAAAAAGTTTTCTCATGGAGGAGAGATCTCCAATGCCAGATTTCCACGGCAAGCACCCCAGCTCAGGAGTGCCCTCAGGAACAGACTGGCTGTGCATCCGGCCTTGCTGCAAGCTGACCTGCTGCTGCTGCACACTCACAGAATCCCTCTCCAGAAAGGCTGTAAACACGGTGTTTTCTGATTTCTAAAAGGCCCTGAAAAAACAAAGCACACTCCAGCCATCGAGGGAGGCTCCTCATCCTGGGCATTAACCTAGTCCAAATATGGCCCCCCTCTCTTTCTTACAGTGAGGCAGGGAGGTAAGACAGAGGCTAGAGCTTATGCTTTGGTGACTTGGGTATCCTAAAATGGAAGAGGCTGATGTAATATTGTTTATTTTAACTGAAGGTATTTCCATGGTCCTTATCAGTGCAACATCTGAGCCAAGGCCAAAACTCCACTTTGTGTCAGGTCTGCAGAGCTGGGAGCGGACAGCTGAGGGATAAGTGTCTGGTGAGTGGACACAGCTGGAGACTGTTAACCTGTGGGGCCCACTGAAGCACGTAAAAAGGAGGAAGAGGAAAGGAGTGGGTAGCTGGGAGGAAAAAAAAAAAAAAAAAAAAAGGTTTTTGTGTAATTTAGGAAGAGACTTGTTGCTATCCTTGGATTCTGGTACAAATAGCACTTTTATTTGAGAGCCTATCCTGGGTGTGAGAGGCAGGAGGGACTCTTACTCTGGCTTTTTTTTTTTTTGGCTGTTAAAGGGACAGTGTTTGCCAGCCATCAGCAGTTTGGAGTTATTTTATCCTCTACAATCTGGATTGTTATGTGGAGGTGATAAGCATAAGGCTAGTTTAGCAAAGGAGTTTGTGTTGATTTCTCCCCAGAAGAACAAACATCCTTCCTGCTGGACAACCTGCTTGAGAGCCTCCTCGCATCTGTCCCTCAGTTTTGCACAAAGATCTCCGCCCTCACCAGGAACAGCCTTTTCCTCACAAGATATTTAGGAAGATCCTGGGCAATGTGGCTTCTGTATTCTCTTCTGGGAATGATGCTTCAGCCCTTTTCTCTTGAGGGGTTGCTCTCTGTGTAGATTCTTGATCTAAAAGGGGAGCATGCTACACACTGCCAAAGACTAATTTTTCTATTTTTTGTGCATTCTTGAAATTATTCCATAGAACTGGCTGACCTAGACCCTGACTCTTACATGGCTCCATTTGGTTAAGTGCTGCTTTTCTGCTCATTTCTGTAGTCTCCCTTTCTTGAGCCTTTCCTCCTGTTTGTTGTTACGCTAATTAGCTGGCTTTGCTTGGTTTGGATGGTGTGCTCCTGCTTGGTACCTGTGTTCCTCCCAACTTACAGCCTCTGCCTCTGGAAGGAAAGAAGTTGTCACACATACCAGCAGTAGATGAGTTGAAATCACTTCTGCCTGTTGAGTGGTCTTTAAATGCAGTTGAAAGAGATTCTGTCATGTGGTTAGGAGAGATTTTGTGGGTGTGAGGGGAGAGAAACAGGAGATACAAATTCAGTTCCTGTGTCAGCAAGTCGTGATACCTACGTGCTTGCCTTTATAGGCTGAAGTCACACAGCTTTCTGCTACCTTGTTGAGGCTGCGTAGTTTCACTGTCAGTGTTTTGTATTGGGGGCTGTGTGTGGTTACATACATGCAAAGAAGAGCTCCTGATTCTGGATCTTAGTAGAAGATTATCACAGAGTAATATCATGAGGAGCTGTCACTGTAGGGAAAAGACAATTCTCTGGGGTATTTGCAGCTTCTCTGAATGTGCTTGCTGTTAACCCAGAGACAGGGAAGATCTGACCTTACGATGATCTGTCCAAGTTCCAGTTCTGTAGCCTCCCGAGGGCATTGTTTAAATGCTTTAGAGTTTGGTGGTCACTTCATCAAAGTGAAAACCAGTGCTGTGTGATTTCAGTGACACCACAAAAGCAGTGAATTTGCAAGAGGTAACTGAGGCAGTTGACCGTGAGTTTATAGGCAGAAACGGGCTTTGTACAAAACAGCTTTGTGAATAATAGAGGACACAAAGTATGTTCTGTGTACTCCATGACTTAATGACTAGAAGGAAGACTAAACCCACCAAGATCAGTTACATTCTGCAAGTAATTCATGCAAAGTCCCAAAATTTGATTTGGAACTTTTAGGGTGCGGTTCTTCTGTATTTTTTGTAATGTCCGTTTTATCATAGGCAGCTACTGAACTTACTCTTTTCCATGAGCAGTGGTAGAAAGATCCTTGACTAAAAGTATCTTGCTGGTGCTCATTCGGAGAAATTTGGAGGGAGAAGTACTTCTCCTGTGGCCTAAGCAGGCCTATTTCTCCCTTGTACATCTCCAGAGCTCCTTCCATTGCTATATATTTGTTTAAATATTGCGTTCCATGTAAAACACAAGTGTCCATAATCCAAACTTTTTTGTTTGCTTGTTTTTATCCTGCATTTGTCTTAATACTGAGACATTATTCATCCTTCTAGTCACTCAACTGCAGTTCACCAAAACTGGTCAGTACCATGGTCTGGACTTTGAGAGTTATTAGCAAAGAAGAAGAGAAAACCTGAGAGTGCAGAGTAGCCTCTGCCCAGGTACCTCCCTCCTGTATCTGTAATCAGTGGCTTGAGGACAGGGTGCAGGAGGGCCTACAGCTGAGCTTCACCTTCAGGACCCTGGTTCTGCACCATTATGATCTGGTAGGCTTCTTTAATTCACGGGGAATGGTTTGGCATTTAATTACCTACCTTGTATGTTTAACCCTTTATATTTTCTTGGAATCTTGAGTTAAGTTTAATGATATTTTCAAAGCCAAGCCAGCTATTCGCTAGAAAAGTTTCTCCAGAATAATGGCAATTTAAAGAACATTTTGAAATTGAAAGGGTAGCAATCCCTGCTCCTGTAACTGAAGCTTGCTTTTTTCCTATGGCATTCATTTCCTCTTAAGTACATCACACATTTATTTATTTCTTCCTCTCAGTTGCTCTTTTGGCTTGTCTTACCACCCTGATCAGCTGTGTATATTTCTAATTAGTTTGCAGACGGACAATATTTTTTGGTTTTGATTTTTGTCTCAATCTGTAGATACTTGCTCCTGCATGCGCCAGCCTTGACTTGGGGTATAGGAAATGCAGCTGGCTTCTAACAGTTGAAGCCATCGTTGTGCAGGGAAGGTAAGGACAGCAGTTAAGGCAAAGGTTGTGAATGCTCTTGGAAAGTGTGCTCAGTATATGGGGTGGCTGATTACTTTGTAGCTTGCTTCTCCATAGACTTCTCCCTGTGCCTGCTTATTTTTCTTTTTCCTGGACACTTGTGCTCAACATTGTCAGATATTCCAGAGGCTGGTCTTTGAACAGCTGCCAGCCTCTCCCCTGGGTACTGCCTTGGCTTTCTTGTGCTATCTGAAAAACAAATTTGAAACAATTAACAGGAAGATCAAAATCACTCAATGTTTCGAGTCCCTGAGAGGCTTCTGTCTGGTGCTCAGGTGGATCCCAAAGGCTGAATGGCTTCTTCCCTCTCCTTTTTCCCTTTTCCCTATTTTTCCCTTCCCTATTTTTCCCAATAATGGGAAAACAAAACAATGTCAAATTTATGTGAGCCAAGCAACTTAAAATATGTGAAGGTAAGGGGTTTCCACTTCACATTCACAGTTTACTTTTTGCCATCTCTGCCCAGTGGTCTGCCATGGCCCAGCGCATACTCAGGATTGGGGGGTGCTGTGTGCCTCTGCGGTGCTGCTGAAGCCATTGCTGCTGTCTGTGCCTCAGTTCCTACTCAGTGAAGTACTGAAGTACTGCTGAGCTGCTCTGGACTCGGGCAATAAGGACAATCCTAAGCGGTGGTAGGTATTAGTTAGGTCAAGTGGGTGACATTCCAGTTGTGTACAGATGCTTTACATAATAGCTATTGAGATTACAGGTGCTTTTTTTTTTTTCTTGCTCATAACTAAATGTTACAACATAACGTTGTAATTTGTTATGACAGATAATTATATCCACCTTCCAGCAGAAAATTGTGTTCTGAGAAAACTGTTTTGGGTCTGCTTTTCCTGTTTTTTTGTTTGCATGTATTTGTTTTGTTTTGGTTTTTCCTAGTTTTTCCTGTGGGATTCAGTTATTTGTTGAAGAATGCTCTTTTGTTTTCTTTCCCCAGCAAGTACATTATAAACTTTTACAACAGATAACCATTATCAACCCTTTCTTCGCCTTGTCACTTTTATAAAAATCTTCATGAGGGAAAAGCACGATTTTTGTAATGACTTCCAGTTTTCTGTTTTGAGAATTTTTATTAAATCTGAACTGAGGTAATTTGAAACACAGCCATTCCTCACTCCTTCAAGCTCAATTCTATCTGGTTTTCTTGAGCAGCGCATGGAAACTTTATCCTGTGAATCACTCAATGCTGCACTGCAGCGCTCCTTTTAATTCTCCAGCAAAACTCCATTTGACTCACAAAATGTGAGATGGTTGTATTTTAAAAGGGATGTGACTGGGGATCTCATTTATGCTCAGACACAGTCTGCCTAATTAGAGCTGATTGAAGCAGTGTGTGGGGGAGACATGAATGGGCTCCTACTGCCAGAAGATATCAAAAGAGACTGGGGACCCAGATTTTCCAGAGAAAAGGGAGTCGTGGCATCGGGCCCAGTCTCCCTCCGAACACAGGTCCCTCACAGCAGCTCAGCAGGTTGGTATTTCTGATGGAGCTAGGAAGGTGCCCACTCTTGGTTTAGCATCTTCCATCGATGGAGAGTCCATTATGCCCCTTGCTGAGACTTCTGAACGCAGTGTGGTTAGAGGCCCTTCTTATTTCAGCCAGCTCCAGCCCTGGTGAATGTTTGATCCTTGGTCTCCTTGTTTGTCCCACCTTGGTAGATGTGACCTGAATGTACCTGCGGACAAGCTGGTTGACCAGAGAGTCTCACTATGTGTTTCATGCAGAAGCACATCTTAAAGCAATTTCCTTTCCAAACCTTGCTTCATTTTTTCTTCCTCTGACTGGTAGTCTCAGGAAGGGCCTCTTAGCCCTCAAAGGCTCCTTCGCTGAGGTAGGTGGATGTAAATGCATTCTGCTGGCACATCAGTGCCTCAGCTTTGACTGGGACATCTCAGAGATGGCAGTAAAGTTGAGAAGGAAGGTAACAGCTGTGTGAAGCGATGGCAGTGTTGTCTACAGCACTTTCAGACCCCTTTGTTTAAGAGGAAAGACCTAAGTCATGTCACAAGCTTGGGCCAAGTTTGTTAGCTGTCCTTTGGCTCCCTCGTGCCGCATTGTGAGCGGGGATTTGTGCTTGGCTGGCTGTTTCAGAGGTGAAGCCTGCTGAGTTTCTTCCTGGAACATCCTGACATAGTAAACAAGGGAAAGCAGAGGCAAAGCTCTTCCTGTGCAGCCGGTCGGGGTGCCTGCGCTTTCTCACTTCTTCGTGCATTCTTACCCTTGACCCCAGCGTGCTATCCAGTTCCCTCTGTGTCAGGTTCTCCTGAAAGCTGTGATTTCCTCTCCTGACAGCCAGCAGGAAGATGAGAAAGCTGTTGGGCAACCTTTGCTCTGAAAGTACTGGAGGGTTATTAACAAAGCATGCCTGACAGGCAGGGTTTAGGAAATACCGATAACATCGGGAAGAGGGAGGAAAGTAAACAGTCCAGTAGCAGAGGGTGTGTTTGTCATTTCAAAGTTGGCCCAGAGCAGCAGCTTGTAAAGTCCTTTCCCCTGCAGAGTCGCTGTCACAGATGGGTGCTGCAGATGAGCTCACGCCGCTTCCCCCAGCAGCTGGGATGGACTCAGCCCCTCGAGTGGGGACCCCAGTCTGAACCGGTCCAAAGGCTGGACAGGTTTTGGCTTGGTTTCAGCACCATGTAGACGAACCAACTTGTTCTGCCCTCAGATGTGAGGGTGTGGCAGAAGGCAAGTGTCTTCCTTTCCACTGCCTCATAGGTGAGGAGAGCTACTGTAAGGAGCAGGCGCCTGTTTTACAAGGCAATCGAGGCCAGGAATAGACCTTCTGTCGCTGACTTCCACTAACCCAGCCTTGTAAAAGACAGCTTGGGCATGTAGCTGGGAACTATGAAATCCCATCCTCTGAGCAGCTTGCAGCTAAGATTTTGATAGAGGCCCTTTCTAATTATCACTGACAGGCAGATCGAGGGTAAGATTATGCATTTGGGTTCTTGTTTTTTCTCTTCCCTCCCCTTCTTCGTATCATGCATCAGCTCCAGTTTCCAAATACATTTCCGTGTCAAAGCACTAAACTTCATCCATCATAAGCACGTTTGTGCAAGTCCTAATAAAATAAGCCTGCCGCCACGTCTCTGTGGGAAGGTGGAGACTCCGGTCCTAATGTAACATGACAATGGGAGCACCACGAGGCTGGGTAGGGAGATGATATCTTTTCCATTTGTGCAGTAACTGTTGTTTAGCGTGGCTTGTCAGTCTGTCAGATAAAGGCACACAGCCATCTATGAGGAATTATTAATGAAGATTCAGGCATTTATTCTGCTGGAAACGGATCACTTCACTCTTCATCTCACTGACTTTTTACATTAGAAAACTAAAAATAGCCCTGAGTTTATAAGGAAAGGCCTTCAATATCTGGCAGGTTTTGCCTTTCCTTTCCTGTACTCTGTTCCCCAGAGACAGGCTAAATACACAAACCCTTTTTCTAATGGTTTGGGCTTGAGCATTTCAGAGCCATAAACATGAGTACAAGGTGTGCATCCCCGTCTGTTAAGCACATTCAGTCCGCTGAGCCCCTGTATCATCCAAGCAGAAAGCAAAGACCAGAAAATCCCTCCAGCCTCTGATTATTCACACTTCTGAGGAAAAGGCAGGTTAAGAAAAAGAAGTGCTAATCACACCAGCTCCAACAAACGTGGTGTTGCCAAATGCTGTGCAGCTTTCCCCATCTCCCCCAGCAGTGCAGCCCAGCAGTCACAGTGCTGGGCCCTGCTGGGGCAGCGCCTTTGCCTCGCACTGACACGTGCTGAGGGATGCTGGGCCACAAGTGTGTCTGCCAGTGCCAAGGGAAGAAGTCTGTGCAGTTGTTTGCAGCCTCTTCCATTTTCCCTCAGGACGGCGGTGACATCTCATCTGGTGCGGGTGGGCTGCTCTGCCCAGCAGGCATGTGCCACAAGCACCGGGATAGGTGTGTAACCTATAGGTGTGTAACACACTGCTGCCTTGGGAGGTGGGAGTGAAACTTCCTGAGCGTGTGTGTGTGTATCTACATGGTTCAGAGACCGTGTTATGATGGGCAATTTGTTTTCCCCCTTACTTTCTGGAGGCTGGGATACAATTGGTGTCCAAACGCACTGTTCTCAGGTGTGCCTCTGTGCTGCGTGGTGCAAAGCTTTCAGCACAACAAGGGCCAGCGCTGAAATCCCAAGAGGGAAGGCAGGTCAGATCGTCTCAGCCGAATGTGGTTCCACACGATTGAACATGGCTAGCTGATCCTGCTGGGTGTACTGGGGCTGTGCGCTGTGCCGAGAGCTTCCCAAAACCAAACCAAGTCAACAAAGTGCTCTGCAGTGTGAAGCAAAACAAAAACACAAAGTTCATGTGTTGTCACCAGACAAAAATTTGCTAAGAACCAGCAGAAATGAGGAGTTAATGGGTCCCATATGTGGCAGCTAACCTGGGCTTCAAAAAGGTTTTCTATGAGATTTTGGAAAAGATTTCTATAGCGGCAAATGAGACCCATTTCTTGTTAACCTGGACAGCTAACATTCAGGCCACATTTTGTGCCATGGCTGTCTATAAATACAGGCTAACAAGTTTGGATGGGATTCCCACTCTGTGTAAAAAGCAGACAACAGCCTCTAGTATTCCTGAGCAGTGCTGCACTTAAAGCTTTAATCAGCCTCTCAGCAAGACAACATCAGAAATAGTTCAGAAAATATTTACCTTTTAATGCATCTTGTGGAGATGTGAGTTTTTGCAGTCTTCCTAGGTATTTTTGTATTTTGCAGGTAGAGCATGGGTCTCTTCTCCTTACAGACAGTACAGCACATTCAGAGTTGATGTTAGTTTGATGAACTTGGTGATGCCTTCACCAGATGGTCCAGGGTTGCCACAGCCGTGGCAGTCGGTCCTCACAGGGACGGACAGACAACATCCAATATAGATTGGACAGTACAAAGCCTGAAGAGGCTGGCTTTCTTTTTTTTTTTTTTAATCTTACTTTTTTTTTTTTTTTTCCTGTTCATTTTAAGTGTGTTCTGAACAGCAGGGGTAAGAAATATTATTGTTTTCTTGTGCTGACATCAGTTCTGCCAGAAAGGTCAAACCACTGGAATGCTGTTTACCATTGCATAGGAGAAGGAGCAGTAGGCTAAGTCTGAAAACTAAAAGCAACAGTGTTTTTTACCAGTGATTGCCTGGGGTGCGGATATGCGGGGGAATTTTGCTTGTGTGATTTTAAGGGCTTGGGCTGGTAGAAGTACCACTTGGGGAATTTTGAGGTAGAACTCCTGGCAGAGAAAGTCTCCCAAGGCAGACGGATAACAAGACCCACTGTCAGCTGAACCAGCATCTCTGTCTCTGGGTATCCGTGCAGTTTCCACACTGGCATTCGGGGGATTGTCTCCTCCTTCGTCATTGCCATGCCATTAACACAGCCCCAGCTGCACTTAGGAGGGATTTTCAGACCCTCCTCATGTGCCCCTAGGAAAGCTCACCAGTATAAAAACCAGAGCAGGGCAGAGACTTGCTCCTTTGAGACCACTCACAGAGCCTGCTTTAACATTTTGGGGGGGAACCTTTGCTCTATAGCTTGCAAGTTTTAAAACTATTGGTTCTCTGTTTCTTCTGAATCTGTGGGATGCTGAGCAGCTTCATTCATGTCTGTCTGCAGCTGTGTACGTGATCTCTAGGTGGAAAATGCTCAAGAAATGCAAAGTGTTACTGATGAAGAAAACTGAGACAATGAGAAAGGTGAAGGATGCAGCAGTCTGTGAGGGCAAAGTGTAGGTGTCGATGTGGGAGATGTTACTTTATTGAGTCATCCTGCGTTGCAGTCTAAGCTGGCCTTGGAAATTTATCTGTTCCTTTATGGCTTCCCCAGAATTAAGTAACGAAGGTCTGGGCAGTTAGAGCAGCCTACGTTGCTGTCAAGGGGAGACAAACTGAAAAAGAGGGAGAGAAGTTGTGAGGGGTAAGAGATGCTGTGACAAGGGCCAATCTGGAGAACCCTGTGAGACAGTCCTCCATAAAAGTCACAGCTACAGCCTGGCAGGTGAGTGTGAAATTGTGTCAGCAGGTGATGCAGGAAGAAGATGCAGGTTTGGTTCCCCGTATCTGGCTGTCCTGTGCAAGGGGAGCGCACCGACGGGCATGTTTGTCGTGCCTGACTTCAGTGAGCATGGAAAGGATGAAAGGATGCGTATTTATTGCATCCAGGTACATCTTTGTGTATCGAGTTTTTTTGTCTGAGCTCTCTTCAGAGCTAAAATCTTTTCCTGTTAATTCTGGTCATGACTCTTGCTTTCTAAAGAGCCTTGGTCAGTGCCTTCTGGTCAGTTCCTTCTATTGTCAAATTTGGTGTATTTGTCCTCCCCTGCTAGCCTCCACATAGCCCTGCCCAACGTACCCCCTCAGCTCGTCTAACATCACAGCAAGCACGGTCATCCTCTGAGCAAGCCAATGGGTATATAGCATCTGCTGCTCTTCAGCATAACCTCACCTCTAGGACGGTATAAATTGCAACCAAAAGTAAGGGGAGAGGGGAGCTGGGGCTGGGGGAGCACTCAGCACCGCCGAGTGTGTAGGAACAGCTCTCTTTGACCGGAGGTGGGAGGAGGATCTTCAGATCAGGATTTCAGATTCAGGAGTGTCTTCAGAGGTCGGGAGAGGAGGGAGGAAAGCAGGCTGAGTTGCACCTGTGCTGTCCCACTGGATGCGCCGTCAGTGCTTGTTTGTAATACTTCACTGCTCAGTCACGGGGTTAGATATGAAAGATGCTGGAGGAGAACAGGCTCAGTGTTTCTCTCTGCACTGGCAGACGGGCAGCTAAGTGTGGTATTGATACCAGACAAACTCCAGATCCAGATCAGCCCAAGGCCAACGGGGGAGGAGGTTGAAATGTAGGATACGTGAAGAGCCAGCGTGATCCGCCGAGATAATGCAGAAATTCCAGCTGACATCTGAAATTATGTAGCCAGGAAAAGATAAGGCTCTCCCTGGGAGGGAAGACAATAATTGTTTTTTAGCGTAGCAGATCAGAGATTAGGCGCTCTCGTCTGTAATCTGTCATGGTGGAAACAGTAGCTTCCTGTGCTGCTGCTAAATATTTCAATTGAAGACTGCAACTGTCCACAGCCTCCTCCTCCGTTTATCTCTGGAGAGAAAGGATTAAATTTCCACCCAGTTTAAGTTAATTTCGAACTTGGAAACACTGCGTCGTCTTTCTCCTCTCTGATCATTTCCTTACAGATGAAGGGAGGAGGCTGGGGAAAGCAAACCAGAAGGAGCAGCAGAGGCTGTGCCAGCTGGGGACGTGCTGGAGGACACTGATAGAGGGGGGCTTGCTGGTCAGCTCCTGGGAGAGCTTCAGCTCGTGGTGATGTCTGCAGCCCCCTGCAACCTGGTGGAGATGAGGACAGGAGAACTGAAGGCAGTGACTAACAGGTCTCCTTTTCTTCTCACACATCTTCTTTATTCCAGTTTTGCTTTCCCTCCAAGTGCTGTTACTGAGCAGGGTGCTGTGTAACACTCAGCTTGCTATGTCAGGCAAGAGAGCCAGGGAGCTTTAAAGGCAAGTAGTTAGCCTGCTTGTGTTTGCTTTCCCCCGAGGAAGCGAGCGGAGCTTTGGTCTGTTTCTGCATCTGCTTGGTGAGCGCACTGCACAGACCCCAAGCCCAGGGACATGTTGCAACCCCACCTCCTTCTAACACAGCAGCACATGTACCAGCATAAATGCATAAGCAACGAATTGGGTTATTTTCTCTCTGTGAGGTGGATTTATTTCCCCCCCTACTGCTTCCCACAAGCCTCCCGACCCTTTTGCCCCCCCTTTGGCAGGCCCCTTACACTTGTACTCTGGAAAAACAGTAGTAACTAACATTTGTGCCTTTGGCAATAAAACCACAGGCCTTGCAAACCCCAAATGGCAAAAAGACATTTCCATTCCAATCCCAGTTTTAAATTAAACTGTAATGAAAAATCAGCAGTGGCAGCTGGGACCAGAGACAGTGATTGTCTTGAGGAACAAAAAAGGGGAAGGAGGAGGAGAGAGGGAGCGACTGCAAGGAAAGCTCAGCCCGGTAATAAAGCAGCTGGTAAACCTTCAAGTAAAAAGAAATTAGAAAAACAAATCTAGCCGAGAGGGAAGCGGGGCCGCCTGACCTGCCGCGAGGTGCCGTGGAGGAGGGCCACCGGGAGCCAGCGGGCTGCGCTGGGAGCTGCGCGGTGCTGTGCTGACATCTGGAGGGGACGAGAGGCAGCCGGGCACGGGCTCCTCGCTCCTGTCCGGCCTGGCCTCCTCATCCCCTCCTCATCCCCTCCTCATCCTCACTCAGGCACAGAAGGGCCCCGCCGCTCCCCTCAGGGGCAACGAGCGCTCTGTCTGCCGCTCTCATACGTGTAAGCAGCCACAAAGCACAGAACTAACGGGTAGTGCCGCTCCAGGACTTTTGGAGGTGTTTCAATGAAAAATGGAAAGCTAGCCAACAAAACTCTTGATTTTGTTTTTCATGTGTCAGTTCTTCAAGAAGTCAAAGTTTTCTTTGGCAAATAGATACTTTATTTGGTCCCAGTGGGAGGCTAAAACAAGGAGCTTGTTTCCTGAGACCCTGATCCCTCTCAGGATCAGGGTCTTCAGTGTGAAACTTGAGTGCTTTTTTTTTTTTTTTTTAATTGCTGCTTTTTTTCTTTATCATGCATACAGCAATTCAGCCAAAGACCTGACACATTCTCCTGCCATAGCATAAATAGTCAATTGCAAGAATACCGTGCTACATCTAGTTCTTGTGGACAAAATTGTAACATCCACGAGCTCAAAATGAATTTGTAGTATTTAGTTTTCCTCAGTTGCTATTAGTTTTTTTGTTGTCTTGTTTTGTTTTGTTTTGTTGTATTTCATCACCCCAGCATGAAACTGAAGGATTAAAAAAGGTGAAATTTGCTGCTCTGAAGAGTTTGCAATGAGAGCAAGCAGGCCTGGGGGAGAAGTAGAAGTGCAGAGGAGCAAAGGGATGCTTCAAAGGTCACGTAGCACATGAATAACATTTCTAAGAAAGGAACCAAGGTCTCCAGAGTCGGTTTAGTGCCCCATGCACAGGACTACACAACCTATGCAGAGTCTCTGCTGCTCCTGGGCCTTCCCATAGATCTGGCAGGGTGTATTTGTGGGGTTTGTGGTACTCACACCTAGTGCAGGGAGGTGCCTAGTTCATCCAGACCCAAGTTCACCCCTAAGTGAGGTGACTGCACGTAACCACACACAGTCACGCTGCTCGCTTGCCTGTGCAGTTTTGCAGTTGGCAAATGCACATCCAGCTTTACTCTGCCTGTCCTGAACACAGCCTTGATGTGGGCTGCAGGTTTTAGCCACGTTATTTGTAAACCATAAGAAGTGCTGATTCAAAACAAACCTGTAGTTTTGTTCATCTTTAATTTTCAACAGCATCAGGAGGAGAAGTGAGTTGCTAGCTGTCTTCTCCTTCGCTTGTCTGCAAGAGACATGGTCAAACTGGTACCTGAAATTACGGTTCCAGCACAAGCTCCTCAAAACCAGCTAAGCAGTTACGTTCTTTGAAGTCCCAGAGCAGAAAGCACTGAAATATTTAGGCTATTAAGGTGAAACACAAAGTAAGCTGTTGGCCTAAATTTCAAGGTTGCTGAACACCACAAGCTTTTTCACTGAAGTCATAGGAAGAAGCCTTATGTATTCAAAAATTAGGCCAGTTTATGTGCATCTAAATAAGGACTTGTAGCCTACATTTAATTCAGAGGAACTGAGCCTATTTAGAAAACCTCCCGCCTACCTCCGTGCCTCAGTTGTAGCAGACGATGGTAACTGTGGTGTGTTCAACCTGTAGCTCGTGCCTCAGTGCCTGTGGCTAATAAAGTGTTTTTGTGTTGTCTGCAGAAAGCTGCTCAGGCTGTTTTTCTATGGAGACTAGTATAAGGGAATTAGATACCCAGTTTCCACTGAACTGATTTTGTTTCATTCCCTGGCAGTCTTTTAGAGGAGGAAGAGAAAAAAAATTACAGATGAGATCTCATCTATCAGGAGCGGAGCCCACATCTCGAGCATATTCTCTGATCTCCATCACAAGACACACTCAGGCAGACCTCTCTTCTCCTGTCCCACTCCTCTGCTGGCCTGGTGTGCGTGCAAGAGAAGTGGTGCAGGCGAGGGGAGTTCTGGTAGAGCGTCTGGCTGCCACGCATCCTTCTGTCTGGCTGAAATACTGGTAATGCTGGCGCCGCAGCCAGCCCTGGCTGAGCCTCTGGCGCTGTGGTTCACTTGGAAGCGCCCACAAGAACATAGGTGTCTGGGGACACTTGATCCAGATGATCCCAGCACCTTGGGCCCTTCCAGACAGAGGACAAGCTTTCCTCAGAAGCTGCATTCCTCATGGCATTCCTAGCCATACCCTAAACCTTGCTTCTTTACTCAGATTGCTTCTGCTGTCCTTGCTGCTGGTGTTCCTGTGCTTACACTTGAGGAGGGAGAAACAGGGAGACATTCATTCAAGACCACTGCTCTATTTCACAGCTGGGTTTTCCTCTGCTGTTTGTTTGCTTTTTATACGAGCCATGCTGAGATATTAGCATGATAATGCACTTCTGAAGGTGCTGTTGGATGGGACCAGGTCCTTTTTGTTTGTACAGTGGTTTGAGCCCTTCACAGTTGTGCACTGGCCAGAGGCCAAAATTCTGCTCCCACTTCTGTGCCAGCAGCTTCCACCGATCCCAGACAACGCAGAAGCCCCGGGAGCTGCCTATGGCTGTGTGCATATGGGGACAGAGATTAAAACTCAATCAGCAACTTGCTAATTCTGTACAAAGCTGTAAGCAAGGCAGTCTCAGAAATCAAAATAAGCTCCCATGAAGACTTGAGACAGATACAATCTGTATTGTTGCTACTCCAGTGAACTCTTTTCAAACCCAGCAACTTGGTTATTGAGACTGACTGAGGGACCACAACGGGTTCCTTATAATTATTTTCTCTTGTATAACCTCTTTAAAAAAAAGAAATAGTATGAGACTTCTCTGTGAAAGGTTTCAGAGTGTTTACAGACCCTGAACCATATCAAAGAGATTTCTGACATGAATTCCTGAGTTATTTAAATAACAGGAGGTCACATTTGAGTTAAGTAACACATTTGGGTTACTTAAAAGATCTAGTGGGCAAAGCTGTACGTGCTGTGGAAACAACTGAGTGCATATACAAACCTCCCCGTGTCCTTTGATCTCGGCACAGGGCACAGAAGGCAGCACAGGACAGCTGTAAACTTGAAGGACGTGGAATAGCAATCAACTTGGATCTGTTTGTGCTTCTGTCAAAGTCAGTGGCAAATGTCCCATCAGTGTCATAGAGATCGGGTGCACGCCTCCATGAGCAGCATGGATAATGCTCATGCAGTGCTGTGGGAACACGTCATACCTCAGCAAGTAAGGTTTCAAAGTGTGTTGTGTGGAAGGGCACCACTAGAAGCAGGCTGGAGGTCTTGGTGTGCTACCAGCTTTCTGTTCCACACCCAGACCAGAGACTCTCTCTCTTAAAACGTTCTTCCATTGGGAGAACCACAGATTTATAGCGTGTATGTTGAAGAAACGACAGTGGTGAGCATCTGTTCTGACATCCTGGAACTGATTTTATAGATCTTTTATCTGGTTGCTGTGTGAGCCAGCACATCCTTCGCAGCATGGAGAAAGCTCTTTTATCTCTGCCGCTGATGCCGCAAGGTATGGCTGGAAAGGGAAGGTTGTACCAAACCTCAGCGGTGCTTAGGCTGCACCTAGCCTGTTAGCTGAGGTGCCTGGGAGCAGCTGCAAGGCACAGAGTGGCTGAGGTTGGCAGGCACCTCTTGAGGTTACCTTGTCCACCCCCCTGCCCAAGCACAGCCACCTGGAGCAGGTTGCCCAGGACCATCTCCAGGCAGCTTGTGAATGCCTGCTGGGATAGAGACTGCACAGCCTCTCTCTCAGTGCTCAGTCACACCCACAATAAAAAATGTGTTTTTCAATGATCAGACAGAGCCTCCTGTGTTCTAGTCTGTGCCCCGTGTCTCTTGCCCTGTCACTGAAAGGAGTCTGGCTCCATCTTCTTTGCATCCTCCCTTCAGATACTTGTATACCTTGATGAGATACCCTCTGATAGTCTTCTGTGGGCTAAATAGTCTCAGCTCTCTCAGCCTTTCTTCATATCAGAGATGCTCTGGTCCCACTGGCACTTCTGTGGCCCTTCTTTGGACTCTCCAGTAAGTCCATGTCAGTCTTGCACTGGGGAGCCCAGAACTGGACACCAGCCTCACCAGTAACAGGTAGAGGGAAGGGTTTTCTGCCTTGACCTTCTTTGCAGCAAGGGCACGTTGCTGTCTCCTGGGCACCTTGGTGTCCGCCAGGACCCTGAGGTCCTTTTCTGCAAAACTGCTTTCCAGCTGGTGGCCCCCACATAAATGCCCACTCCCTGCATTGGAAATTTGTTTTGTCTGTGCATTGTTCTTTGAAAGCAAAAAAACATTTTCCTCCAACCCCAAATGTGTTAGGGACTTTATTTTTTTTTCCTATAAACTTCCAAAATAATTCAGCTGAAATTTGTCTGCAGACAGTTGTCTCTTGATCTGTGAGAGAAATCAGATGGTATTTTAGGAGCTCAGAAATTAGCTCATGTTCTTGCAAATCCAGCCGATAACAGCTTGCTCGGTGCCATTCACACAGCTGTAGGGGAGAATA